GAAAGAGGGAAAATTTGGTGAAATAGACCCAAAATCTAAACCCTATAAATAAAAATAAGGTTAAATCATGCTGAAACTGAAAAGTATGACAAATCCGTAATTGAAAACTAAGAAACTTGATTTGTTGTCGTTGTTGGTTGTGCTTGAGGCGCAAATATGTTGTGAGATTTAGCGAACTGAAAGTGAGAGAGAAGGGAAAGAGTGTGATAAAGGATATCACCGACGGCATCAATAAAAGATTAATGGCAATGACCGAACTTCGAAGATTGCGTGAGAGAGATTGATCAACAATTGGATACCGCGACGGTGGCAACTAAGAAGTGAATGAGGCGGCATGAACAAAAATAAAAAAAATAAAAAAATAGTGGAGGAATGTTAGAATGTGCCCAAAGTCAAAACATTAAGAGAAATAAAATAAAATAAAATAATATCAGATGATGATGAATGTTGGCTCGTGTTTGATCATTGTGCCGAAATCCCTTGCAATGTTAAGAGTAGTACATAGGTATAACTATATATATATATATATATATATAATATAACACACACATATATATATACATATTATAACGGTTTAGTCTGGGCCGGTCTAATCCTGTAGGACCTTAATCTGGAATCGAACAAAAATTTACAGTTCTATTATTTTAGAACCGTGATCGGACCACTGATTCGGTCCGGTTTTGTTTGATTTTTGGGTTGACATTTTTTTGCACACCCCTACAATGACCCTTAAATTGTATAGCTAAAATGGTCCAATTAGAAAAAAAATATGAGTTTCAAGTGGCATAAGTTAAATTTATTTTTAAACTTTGTGTCTTTTGGAACCAACAAATAAGTTTTTCCGAAAAATAATAATAATAATAATAAAATTGGAGGGGCAATTCAAAATTCCTAATGAAATTTGGGGACTAAAAGTTAGATTTTTTTTGCAAATAGTAACTATTTTTAGTACCATAAATAAGAATTTTGAAAATATTTGAGGGGCCTCCGCTATTTGGTTGTGTATTGCGCCTCGGATACAAAGATGGTTCTGTCCTGCTTGTATGTCGTGTTTTGAGCAAGAAAATATATTTTAAGAGGTCAAGATCCACTATGGTCTGTCTGATACAGATAGCAATGGATCACAGCTATCTGAGCTAACTCATCAATGTTTTGACTCATGTTCCCATAATTTGCAGTTGTCCAATCACAGTCTACCTAATAATGGTCCTATTGAAAATTAAGTATATTTATTTAAAACGAATAATAACCTTCCAAAATTAAAAACTAAACAAGCAATTCTATAATTAAAAAATCTCTGTCATTAAACTTACAGGAATCTCCGATCAACTGTGGTAAAGACTAGCTGGATCACTTAGAGTATCTCTAATGATATGTTAAAATAATTTTTTGTATAAAATATACATAGTCATTTATAATGTATAAATTTTTTTCATCTCTAACAGTCTGTTAAGATATATTGTTACGTTATTAATGTGTAAAAAGTTGTGTAAAATTAACATATTTTTTTTTCATCTATCTTTCTCATTCTATTAAAGAATCGACCATATATTAAGTAAGTTTGTAAAAGTTATGTAGGTCCTGATATGACACATGATTAATTGTTATTGAGAAATATATTTTTACACAAAAAAGATAAAACAATTGTTGGAGTTAAAATTAAATAATTCAAATTTTTTGTGTAAATTCATCATGATACATCAAATTTACGTAAAAAAAAAAATATACACAATGGTTGAAGATGCTCTTAGTTGACACCCTACACTGTTGACTCAGCTGGCCCATCCTACAAATATTAAATATAAATTAGAATTCTAGATAAGAAAAGAAAAAATTAAGCTTACTTAATTTATCGCTCAAAAATAATTATTAAAAATTTTAAAAATAAAAATTTATTTTCAAATAATTATTTAACTGACCCGTGTCCATGTGTCTCTCTCGGTCCCTAGCCGAATTCGGCCACAAATAAATTTTACTTTTCAAATAGGGTTTTTGAATGGGAAAGGTTAAATTAGGGCTTTATTCTTTGTGGTTGATGTGTGGAGTAGATTGGTGCCTCGTTATCTCCAAACATTTAGCACGTTTTCTCGGTAAAGGACACCCTTCTTCTTCTTTAAACCAACACCACCGGATTTGGGTTATCTTCATGTCCATCTCATTGAGAGCCTGCTGGCTACAATTATGACACATGTTTGGCTCCTCTAAGGCACAAATCTACATGGAAAGATAAAAAAATACAAATAGTAACTCACATGCTCATCATCTTCTACACCATCCAAAATTTGAATGCCACTTGGGGTGTCCTATGCAGCCACGTCATTGCCATAAGCAAAATCAAGGTTGCCAACATCATTCACCAACCTTTTTTAGATTCAAAAACTGTAATTAGACCGTGGGAGCAAATTCAAGAATGAAAAATGTGAAAGTGGCAAAATTAAATAATAAGTAGTAAGAATTTGAGTAAGAACACATTCTTAAAAAATGTGAGAGTAGTAAAATTAAGTAATAAATAGTAAGAATTTGAGTAAGAATACATTCAAAGCGTGAAAATAACACCTATTAAAAATGATTGTGTGACTTAACTTTAACTATGTACTTCATAATTTTATTTTATTTATTTATTTTTATCATATTATATTGGAAGGTTAAATTGAATTGCTCATTCAAAAAAAAAAAAAAATGAATTGTTGTTTCGGTGAACATTTTTAATATTATGTCTTAAAAGGGTGTCAAACTTCTATATTCCGTTTTTTTCAATTTCAATTTTAATTCAAAATTTATAATTCCATGGTACGAAACATGATAAAGTTAATTAAATTTAGTTTTGTTTTTTAAATTTGTTGACGTTGAATAACTCTGCACTAAACTCATTATGATAATTATTAAATTTTTGATTATCATTGAAGGCACTAAGAAAGAGACTTACGTTGCCACGTCAAAATCTGACTATGCTTTTCTTTGTTTGGGTCTTCGTGAGTGGATGGTAAAATTAGATTTTCATGATAAGACTCAATGAGAATCATGAATAAAGTTTGTTATGACTTGTAAGCTGCAACTAATTGAGCTTAGGATTGGGTAAACAAGTCAATACCCACCTTTACCAAACAGAACTTGAATATGCTTATTTCTAACTTGACTTTGGTTAAAACCTAGTTCAAGTTTGCATCTATACCCCCAACCTCTCACGTATCAAGTTGGTGAAAATTAATCTTTCATAATCTAAAAATTCTTTATCATGTTGGTAAAAATTTATAATATGAAAAAGTACAATGATACCAATATTCTTTAAAAAATATATATTTTTTTCAATAAAAAGTCAAAATTGAACGTGCAGGCCTCACCATGGCAAAGTGGGGGAGCCCACAGTCACAGCCCCTTTTCTTTGTTTGGTTTTCTATATTCAGTTCGCATATCACATTATTCAAAAACAAGAGTAAAGTATATTAATATTTTTTAAAATTTGGTAAAATTACACCAATATTTATTATTTTAACCTTTCTTAAACTCTCATTCACCAGCTACTGAAAAATGACATTGAATATGAAAATTTTGTAATACCTTAATTTCATACAAAGAAATGGTAAGATTTTTATGCAAGTGAAGGAGTTTTTTTTATTTTGGTCACGGATCTAAAGAAAGAAAACACTAAAGTGTCATTTAAATACACATGTCAAATCTCAAATAAGGTTAAAATAATAAATATTGAACTATGTGTAATTTATTCAACCCTTGACATAATTTACTAAAACAAACTAGTTATACATCTAATGCTACTTTTGGTATAAGTGATACTGAAAATAATTGAAGGTAAAAATTATAAATAGATTTCATGAGAAGTGGCTTTTATTCCTATTATTTCGTTGGAGAATGAGAAATAAAAAAATTGGTGTCCAATTTTACAAATATATCCTTTTATAGTTTGAAAGGCATTTTTGAAAGAGCAAAATTGCAAAAGATAGAAAGGAAATATCTCTCTTGTGGGAGTGAAGGGACATGGTGGGTTTGTTGAAAGGGATCTTCCATGTTACATATGTTCCCCTCACAAATAGCCAATTAGGCCATAAAGCAACATGCAAATGAACCACGTTTTTGTGCTCCATACATGTAACAAGATTTTTTTATTAAAAATAATAAGAATATTGGTTTTAATATAACCACGTTTTTTTGTGCTCCATACATATATTACATTATTATTGCTAACAAGAGCTTACTTTCGAAATTAGTATGCCATCTGAATCTAAAATTCCGTAAATCGTAATATAATGCATATGGTTTTAAAATATGATTGTGAAACAACTTAACTTTACCAATTTCCTGCAATTCCCTCTAGGAGTGACATAATGTTATATAATAATGTTATATATCAAATCATTGGTATATGAATGGGCCAAATTAGAAGCAATAGTAGAATTAAATTTTTTTTTTTTTTTGAAAATACAAGGAAAAAAAGAAAAGAGAATAAAGGACAAAACCATCGCTTAATACCATTCTTATAAGACATCAGGTGAATGATTAGTGATCATAAAAGTGGGCCATAGCGATCGTGGTGCCATAACAAACGGTCAAGAAAATTTTGAGCTAAAATAAACAAAAGTATACCATTCAAAAATAATAAAAAAAAAAAATCCAAAACCAGAGAGATTTAAAGATCCCAAAAGTCAAGCTAACCAAGCATCGACAGGTTGAAAACCACAAACCTAGGACTGTCATCGACCGTCCACGTGTCAGTTAACTGATGATAAGATCTAAAGTATGGTTGGTACAAAGCCTACGTGGCAGCACTCAGAAAATATCTTCTCTAGGAATTAAAATATCAACACCAAGTGTCGACAACCACTACCACACCATGTGAGTATCGGAACCCTCTAAAAATCAAAAACGGGTGAAGGAGAATGCGCCAGCTCAGCATCACCAACTAGTAGCCAATGGCGGCCCACCTTTTGATTAGCTTAGAGAGAGAAAGAAACAGATAGATAGATATAGATATAGAGAGAGAACGTAATGGGTCATGAAGAAGATATTTTGCGTTTTCCGCGGCAGGGAACGAAAGCTGATTTCATCGAAGGCGGTTTACGGCTGCTTCTACCGTTAGATCTCTCAATCTCCACCGTTTATTCTTCAATTTGGTTTTAGATATTTCTACAAGAGAATTTTAAGTAGAGAAAGTTAGAAGCTAATTTTGACAAAACAGAGTTGGTTCTGCTGCTTCTTCAACTAGTGAATGATCAGAAATTAGGGTTTTCGTTTTTAGGGATTGTTTGTTTTGTGGACGATCCAGTGTGTATGGAAAATGGGTGAAATTGTAGCGAGTAGTGAAGAGTTCATGGAGTTGGAAGAGGTGGAGAAGGACAGTTCGCCCGAAGTGATGAGGTGGGAGAGGTTTCTTCCTCGGATGGTTCTTAGGGTTTTGTTGGTTGAAGCCGACGATTCCACTCGTCAGATTATCACCGCTCTGCTCCGAAAATGCAACTACAAAGGTCACTTATTCTTTCTTTTAATTGCTAGTATTGTTTTGCTTGTTCATGTTGTTCAAATTAATAGAGTTTACTTTCTTTTATAGTGCTGCTTAGCAAACAAATTGTTATTTGGGTTTGTTTACTTTCACTAAATTCTGTACTATTTTGGTTCTTTTTTTATTTTTTTGGTATTTATTTATTTATTTTTAAAATTTGGGTTTTTGGTTTGCTATCCTTTGAAAAGTTGCTAGGAACAGAATAAGAATGGATAATACAGGTTGCCTTTTTCTGAATAGGAGTATTTTCTCTTATAAGTCACACTTGAGCAAAAATAGCTGGAAATTGAGCGTTGAGGAAATGGACATGTGAACATTTTAGTTCTTTATTTATTCTATAATTGAGTGTTTTGATAGAACATCAATTGATTACTCTTTTCTTGATTTTCCACAATAATATGTTATTGTGTGCCATTCACAGTCATAAACTCGGCTGGGTTTATTTTGACTTGATGAACTCTGTTCTAGGACTTAGCAATGCAGTTTATTTTTGTGAACAACTCATTATATCAGCAATTGGGCTACTTTAAATTACGTGAGACTGGTTTAATTGCGAGTTAACTTTTGTTGGTCAATGGGATTTGGGAGTTTGATCTAATGGACTTTCGGTGTGCCAATTCATCTTTTTAACTCTTATTCATATGAATTCGAATCGGCAATTGAATTTGAGTCCACCATGTTCTCCAGATTATCCAATTTATATTAAATCATGGTGTTAGGTTTTCTTTCACTGGACAAACTTTATTTCCAATTTTTATTACTTTATTACATATGACTGGAAGTTTTGCCGTCTTGTTATGCCTGATGAATGACGCTTCTGGGACTGAAGACAATTATTGCTTTTTCTTGAGCAGTTGCTGCTGTTTCGGATGGCCTAAAGGCTTGGGAAATACTAAAGGGGAGAGCCCAAAGCATAGACCTCATATTGACTGAAGTGGATTTGCCATCAATATCTGGATATGCGCTTCTTACCTTGATTATGGAGCATGAAACATGCAAAAACATACCTGTTATTAGTATGTCACCTGAGCAAAAAATATTTGGGTCAATTTTTTAATTATTTTGATATTAGATTTTATACTAGGGTAAAGAATTAAAACATCTGTTCTCATTATCTTGCAGTGATGTCTTCCCAGGATTCAATTAGTGTGGTTTGGAAGTGCATGATGAAAGGTGCTGCCGATTTTCTCATAAAGCCTGTTAGGAGGAATGAGCTGAAGAACCTATGGCAGCATGTTTGGAGAAGACAAACTGTATGCACTATTTTCTCAGTTTTCTTCTTTGTATTTATAATTACTTATTAAATGTTAATGGAACCTAACTTTAAAAACTTGTATCAGCAAACTGTTGGGCATGTTCATGACAACACAGCTGCTGCACAACACAGAGTCGAAGCCACTTCTGAAAACAATGCAGCAAGCAATCACTCAAGTGATTATTTGCCCCCTGCACAAAACAATAAGGAATGCAGCGAGAAAGCGTGTGATGCTCAAGTAAGTAGTATTTCATCTTGAAGTCAATTTAATAAGGATGTTAGGAACATTTGTTCTGCATAAATTAGCTTTGAGATATTTGATGGCATTCCAGATTTTAAAGATTGTTTCTTGATATGCAAATCTCAATCTTGGACTTGTTAACGCTATTGGAGTAGTGTCACTCCGATGAATGAAATATAACAAAGCCAACCATTAATACTCTTACCATATCCATTATGAGTTGAGTAGAAACTCGGTTCATTTGGATCATTAGTTTCACAATGCACATAAAAAGAAATAAGTTCCAAGTATATGTACTTTCCAGGATCTACATTGTGATTCATATATGAGGCCACTTATAGCTTGAGGAAAATTTCCTTTTCAAGATTAGGTTGGCTTCATGAAGTTTTACATAGAGACTGCATGTTTTGCCACCTCTTGTGCAGAGCTCTTGTACAACGCCTTACTTGGAAGCTGAGAGTGCGTATATACAAAATATGCAGGGTCTGTCACAGCGGAAATGCGAGAGTGCATCTAACTTGATCAATACAGAGAAGCATGAAGAATGTGTGAAATTGGTCAATAAATCAATTATGCCTCACATTGTAACTGGTAACATGCTATACTCTCATGTTTTCCTTCCATCATGCTTGAATTTGACGACTTCTTCAATTAATCTTCATCCATTCGGATATCTAACAAGCTACTTGTTGCAGAGGACTCAAGTAGATATGGTCCAGAAGGTGCTTCCTGCGAGGAAGCTTATAACTCAACTTCTATCAGATTGGGAGATCATGTTGATGCTAAAACAATGACCACATATGCAAGCATGGAGCCAGAAAGTCGCAGAGAAAATGCTGATGTCACTGGTGCGTTTCATTGCGACATTGATGAACTAGTTGAACCGACAAGTGAAGCCATTGACTTAATTGGCAAATTTGAAAGTCGTCCAACAGACACTTATGGACACTTTGGTGCCAAAGGTGAAACAACTAAGTTTGCTTTTGCTCCACAATTGGAACTTTCTTTAAGAAGATTCCATCCTAGTTGTTCAAAGAATGAAGGTACCGATGAAAGGAGTACACTAAACCACTCCAATGCCTCTGCCTTTTCATGGTGAGTTTCTGTTTCCCCTTCGTTCATTCACTTTATATGAAAGCAACTATTGGACTTGATATATAGTTAAGGCACCATCTGGTTATATGCCTTTTTAAAGTACTTTTGCAAGACAAAAAAGTCAAAACTATTTTTTCTTATTGTCTTTTGTTGCAGTAAAAGGTATATTTAGTTTTCTTATTGTCTTTTGTTGCAGTAAAAGGTATATTTAGTGGATGTCTATCCAATAAAAGTATTTCCAATAAAAAATACATGGGATGACTTATAGGTGTTTGTGGTGGTGGTGATGCTACTGTGTTTGGGGCGGAGTTTATGTAATTGTGGCTCTGGTTTTGTCATATTTCTTTTATAGGCTTTTGTTGAAAGCATGAAAGGTAATTCTTAGTGGTTGTCATTGTTGTGTTAACCCCAAATCTAGTTGAATGGGTTTGGGCATATTAATTATCTTCTTCCATTCTTTTATAATGCAAGCAATATTTCCTATTATATTTAATTTCTTTAGGCCTATTACTGACCTCTTTGTCTCTTTCTACAACTATAAGCCAAGTCGTAAGCAACTCACTTCTATTCTTGTTTTTTTTGATAACTGGGGTGTCCGGAGCTTTACCCCGACTAATCCAAGGGACCCGTGCAAAGCGTCACCTCCACATGGATTGGGTAAAGCTTGGACTACGTCCGCGGGCGAGGCCCCTAAGGAATTGTTTGCACTTAGGAGGAATTGATCCTGAGACCTCATGCTTCACGAGGCTCCAGGGCCCAAGTATTTTCCAACTAGGCCAACCCCTTGGGATTATATATTGATTGGGGCTCTATAGATCATAGTACTACTACTAGTATACTAGAGGGGCCAGAATGGAAATCAAAACTCCTAGCAATACTTCACTGTCATCCTAGTCAATGATGTAGGCGTCATCCAGACACTGTACAGATCTACGGATCTCCTCAGCAGCCAAGTGGAAAGATTTAGTTGTAATCAGTACTTAGAATAAATCTTTGAGATTATCTGATTTGATCACACTCACTGGTTTAAAAGATTGAGTTTATGTTGTATTCAGTTGTGATTTTTTGATGGTGCGTTTGTTTTTTTGCTTAAATCCAACTTCAGATTGATGACTCCTGCACCTTCCAATAAAAGAAAATAAAATATTGGAAATAGTTGTTTATAGTTTCTTCTTTTCATAAGGGGAAATAATGTTAATATAACAGAAGTTGAAAATTAATATATCATGCCCTCATTGCATTACTCAGAATTTTTAGTGGAAAATAATTATGTGTGGTTATGTCACTGAATGTCACAAGTGTTAAGTTACAGTGAATTCCTAATTAATTAGAAGTTCCTTTTTGCAGGTATAATAATAGTAAGACATCGCAACCACTTTTTGCACCAGTTGCTAGTACTTGTACTGAACCAAAGGAATGCACAAGTACTTTTCAAAATCAGTTGTCTAATCAACTCCCTGAAAACATCGATTGTAGTTCTCAATGGCATGGTAAAGTATTAAGTACCAGTCAGAATAATATGAGCACTCTGGTTGTTGGTCAATCTGGACAGGCTGATGCAGCACGTCCAAGTACTCAACTTGGTTACTTTTCAGTTCCAGGTGTAAGGTTTGATAGTTTATGTAGTGGCTACAGTCAAATATTGCCACCTATATTTTATACACAATCAGGTCTTCCGCATGTCTGGGGTTCCAAATCAGCAGGCCAGCAGGATCAGCCCCCTTTCTCAATGAGTGCCTTACTTCGTTCTGATTCTGAAGTTCACAACTCGGAACGAGGCTACTGCATGTTTGATGAGACAACCAATCATTCCAGTGACCAAACATTGCGAGAGGAGGAGAACAATAAGGAAACTATGGAGGTAATGAGACATGGTTCTCTCGTTGGTGGTAGTTTATGTAATGGTGTTGCAAGTAAGCTCAACAGAGGTGTGTGTGGAAGCATTTGTAATTCAAGTGATCAGGATGCCACTTCAGCTACTGCAGTTGCAAAAACTACTGTCTCTGAGAGCGTGAATGACAATCCTCTTCTCATTCGTGATGGATCAAGAGAGATGGATTCTCATTGCCCCACCCAAAGAGAAGCGGCTCTAATGAAGTTCAGATTGAAAAGAAAAGAACGATGCTATGAGAAAAAGGTATGTTAGCAAATATTAATCATTATCAGTCAGCCTTATCATGCATATCAACCTTATAGCATTCATGCTGCCTGGCTAAAAGTAAAAAATTAGTAATCCCCAGAAGAAAGTAGAGGAACTAAATATAGTGACCCCTGGAGAAAATTAGAGGGACGAATGAGAGTGATGTTAGTTGAAGTGCCATAATTGCTCCTGTAGTATAGTTCCTTTAATCTGGTAGCTTGAACTCCCAATTACAATCGTGAATTGTGGTGAAAACACTATACATATATATATTTCCCATATATATGTATAGTGACCCATACTGAAAGATCATTTCAGTAATTGATAGTGGAATTTTCTTGCACAGGTTCGATACCAAAGCAGGAAAAGACTTGCGGAGCAGCGCCCCCGAGTAAAAGGACAGTTTGTTCGCCAAGTGCAGAGTGACTCTGCACCTGCTGATACTGATGGTTGCCTATGAGATTCATTAATGCTCATCTGGTCTATCAGAGTTTTAAAAGTTTTCCTTTGACTTGGTAGGAACTGTAGATTATTTGATGCAGTTTTTATGAATGTTTTGTATAGTTGAAGCTTAATAGATACTGGGAAAAGATAATGCCACTGAAGCCTTTTGACAAAGGAATAGGGTTCGACCGGAATTTTTAGCATTTAGTTAGATGGGTAGTGTTGTAAGTATTTAGTCGCCTGCATATGGCTTCTCTCTGGGAGGAAACTGACTTCCTAGGTTATTGAATTTATTTTGTACGCCCATGTGTATACATGTAACATGTTTACCATGTATCTAGGCAGGTTTTCTTGCACAATTTGCCTTTGTTGGTTGGTGTTTGCTGTTTGTAGATGGTTCAAGGAGCACATCCAGGTCATACGTTACAAAATATAATCTGTTCAACTGTTCACAAACTACACAATGAAAATTTATTAATCTCTGTCGATTTTTATGTTTCTGCTAATGCTCACTGTGGAAGGAAGCACAATTTTTTCATCCTAATTCAGTCATCTACCCCCCCTCTCATATCTCTTACTTATCCTCCTCGACCTCCTGTATAATATACGTGCCTTGGGAAGTGTAGTGTGTGCCACTGCCATCGATCATATTACTCTTGAACTAAATCTCAATTACAAAACTCAGAATTTATTACAAGTTACAAAAGCAATTTAATTCATGTATATATTTGATAAAAAGCAATGTCACGATAAACAAAATCAAATTTTTGACGGATACAACAATAACTCTTGCACGATAATTAATAAAATAGATTCTCTTTTTTAAAAGTTCTTAATCTGACAATGATAATACAAACCGGTTCCGTCTTTTTATCATTTTTTTATTTCATAATAAACACACATGCTTACAACCGGCGGCCGGTGTTTAAAGGTTCACTGATAAAAAAAGAGAAAGGGATTATTATTTGATTTCTAGGTACTACTTTTGTCTTCAGTCATATAGGAAGCACTTTTATGCACATGTGTATTGAATACATATACCATTTTTTGTGCAGTGTAAAAAGTGACACCGGATGACATGGTTGACGAAAAAAATGCCAATGATATTTGTGTGCTTAACAAGTGATACCTCAATGTTCAAGACAAAATGGTATTTAAAAATAATAAAAATAGTTTGAATGAATGAATTGTACTTTTTTTATATTACGTAAATATTTTGATCAATTTTATTTTTTTAAAATATCACGACTTTATCTCAATCAAATAATAAATATAAGTCTATAATACTATAAAACTATGTATTTGTAATAATTTCAAAAAATAAAGTTGCATGCGGGCAAGAAGGTGCACTTAAAATTGAGTCCAAAGGACTATAAAGTAAATGCAAATTTATTTGAAGTTAAATGCAATGGACTTGTGGGTGACGACGAAGGGACCCCTTTAAGTCAACATTTGGGTCCAATGGTGACGAGGGCATAGCTAACCACAACCAAGCACCTAAAAAGAGCGAAAAAGAGCCACGTCAATCCCCATGCAAAAGAGACTTGAGGTCTAAAGTCTTATCCACTGTTGAGTCGGTGTGAAGTGGCGTCACCCTTTTATCGTGACTATCCATCTTTTATCTCCTTCTCTTTCCTTTTCCCCACTCTCTCCCATTCAACTTTGTAACTCAATTTTCAACTCCAAAATGTAAGTAATAAATTTAATTTTGCTCAGGAATTTCAATATTGGTTGGGAGACCGAGAAATTTATTACTTACATTTTGGAGTTGAAAATGTAAAAAATTTATTACTGGAATTTCAATATTGGTTGCGAAGTTTCTTGTACTTAACCCATTTTTAAAATGGCCCACTTCATAATTTTGTTTTCAAATTTGTGTTCAAAATTGTGAAGTGGGCCATTTTAAAAATGGGGAAGTGTAAGCAACATTACTGAAGTATACATTTCATAACACTTTTATTCTGTTTAAAAAAGTGTGTAAAAAAATACTCATATTCTTTTCAATTTGTGCGAAAACACCCATCAATTAATATAATGCCTATTTTACCCTTTTACTCTTCCAAAAAGGTTCCTACGCTCATATTCTCTTTTCTCTTTTAACCCTTTTTCTTTCGGATTATGTGCTCTTCCATGAACTTGGCGATTCGAGCTCATAAAGAGGTTGCCAGTCAGAAATATGTTATTTATAGGTTCGTTATGCTTGCACTTGAAATTGTTGCCGGCCTTGTTCGTCTTCATAGACTTGTTCTTCGATACTGGAAACCATATCATGATCGACCTTATTTGTCTTCGGAAACCCACAACCACAACAAAAGTTTTGCATTCCGGTGCCATCATGACCACAACCTGTGGCATAAATTTGTTGATGAATTTTCTGGGTTCTTGATTACAGTAGGGCAAATTGGTGAATTAGGTTGTCATCTTCTCTTCCTCCGACGAACTGGGCATGGTGTATAGATTGTGGGGGCCCTTTTTAGTCATTTCACAAAATATTAATTTTTTATATATATTATTAAATGTGTAGCTAAGGGTACTTTAGTCATAAATGTGTGAGTAAGATTTATTTGCACAAATGTCATAGTTTAGGGCTTTTTTTTTTTTTTGCATGTGGGGTGCAATATGCATTGTAAGCATACTACAGGGGTGTTTTATACACTCGACCTTTTAAAAATTGAGTGGGGGCATTTTTGAAATCTTAACTAATCTTTAGGTAATAATATAAATTAGAAAAAATCCAATGGAGAAATCAGCAAGTTAAAAATGTGAAGGGAGGCATTTTAAAAAATTGAAGGGGAGCATTTCTGAAATTTTAATTAAAATTATAGGTAATAATGTAAATTAAAAAAAAAATTCCAATGGGTGCATCCGCCCCCATTGTTCCTGAACTAGGTCCGTGCCAGCAGGTGTGATTACAGGATTTTAACCAATCACAAAATAACAGGAAGTACATAATGTATCCAAAAAATATATATAAAAAGAGTATTTGTCAAATGTATTTTAGATAACATTATATTGCTATATTTTTTTTTTCCTTTTAGGGTTATGGACCTTTTAATTTAAGACATAAGAAAATACTATTAGACTATAGCTTTTGATGATACTACAATACTAATTAAACACTAATTTAATTTCAAAAATCTACATTAAAAAAGAAAAAGAAAAATTGAGTGTATTGTGATTTGTGATTGAACTACTATATATTCATATTCGTTTACCGTACAAATCTAAAGTTTAATGTTTCGCTACTTTGTTTTAACAAACCGTAATATTAAAACTGCTGACCATTCTATTATCTTTTTCTCACGATCATAAAAAATTAGTGTCATATTAAAAAATATTATATTAAATTGATTCTATTAAATAATTAAGCATACTTTCTTACAACTATATACAAGTAATATACATCAAAACAATGAAATCCTATAACCCATCGTGTGTAAAAATATTTTTGCAATTCGTTCGCAAATTACGAATCATCACTCTTTTAGACAAGTGATTTTAAAGATACAATTCAAAAATAATACAGTATATGAACATATTTTTATCCCCATTTTTTACTAATATTTGTGTTATAACCTTACACATCTATTTTACTTTTTCTTTTTTGGTCAAAATTTTAAAATTTATTTTAAAAAAAAAATCGTTTTATTTCAAGCTTTTTGTAGCTAGTGGCTTTGTTTTGGATCTTTTATGTAGCTTGATGAAAGAAAAGTAAGGCAGAGAAGCTGAAAATGCAATAAAAAACAAAAGAAAATTGAAAAAAGAAAAAGAAAAAGATAAAGAGAAAAAGCATCCCATGCATTAATTCTAATAAGTTGAAATTAAGAGGCTTAGGTTCCATCTGTCCCTCACATATATTCGTCTTCTTAAGCCCCTTTCTTTTATATATTCCCTATCCACCATCACCACCCACCTCTCTCTCTCTCTACATATATATGCATATATATAACCTGCTTCCATGGCAGAAGAGACCAGACCAACTGAACAAACCCAACCACACCCCAAAATGACTGAAGGCCACAATAAAGCTCCTCGCTATTCGTATAACGACCCACGACGTGCCCTGTGCACATGCATAACCATCTTCTTCCTCCTAGCGGGCATCACAGTGCTCACAGTATGGTTAGTTTATCGTCCCCACAAGCCGCAGTTCACAGTGGTCGGCGCAGCCATCTACGGCCTCAACGCCACCTCTCCGCCCTTCATCTCCATCACCATGCAGTTCACCATCGTCACCAGAAACCCAAACAAGCGAGTGTCCATCTACTATGACCATCTATCGGTTTTCGTGTCGTACCGGAACCAGGCGATCACGGCGCCGGTGAGCCTGCCGCCGCTGTTCCAGGAGAAGCACAGCACGGTAGCGATGTCGCCGGTGCTGGGTGGGGGAGGGGAGGTGCCTGTGTCGGCGGAGGTGGTGAATGGGTTGGTGATGGACGAGGGGTATGGGGTGGTGGGATTAAGAGTGGTGGTGTTGGGGAAGGTGAGATGGAAAGCCGGGGCAATAAAGACAGGGAGGTATGGGATGTATGTCAAGTGTGATGTTTTGGTGGGTTTGAAGAAAGGGTTTGTGGGTCAAGTGCCTTTGCTCGGATCACCACAATGTAAAGTTGATATTTGACAAGTTAATTAATTAATTTGTAAGCTTTTTCTTGTTCTAATTTGCTAGTTTTAATTTTGAAAGCCTTTTTAATTCCCCCCTCTTAATCTGTTATATCAAAGAAATTAAGTTCAAACTCAGAGCAGCTTAATTTTTCTGGGCTACTTGAGTGCGTACATAATAAATATATATAAAACATACAATAGAGGATTATTTATTATTATTATTATTATTTATTTTACTGTTTGAGATTACGATCTTAAGTCAAGCTGAATGAAAACATAAAATTTATATTATTAATAGCAAATAATTGAAAAAAAGTTATAGTAGCACGTACTATTTTCCTTCTTTACTCCTTTATTTTGCAAATCTATCTTCTTCTTCCTCCTAATTATTTGTGTGTGTGTGGAGTCTGTTAAGAATTGGCATGGCTTTTTATGAAGCTAACTGATGAGCAGTATTAAATTTTGTCATACTAATTTAAAGTTGATTGAGAAAAAGCCAAAGAAAAAAAAGAATCCATGTCATCTTGATTGTCTTTACTTTTGAAATAGTTGTAACGAGACGTGCGAGCCGTTACAAACTAGATGGCACGATTTAATTTTGAAGTTATGGAATTGAAGTAATTAATTTGACTATGTATTGCGTACAATTAAGCCTAACCTTTCAGTATTGGCATCCCTAAATAGTAATATCTTACAGTAGTAATTTTTTTTTTTAGATTTGGACAAATTACACACAGATTCCTTCAATATATATAACTTTGACCTTAATAAGTTTAGCACGTGTTCAAAAACATCCATAGAGTTCTTTCTGACAAATTTGTTAATTAAATTTTATAAAACGAAATTTTTTCCTTCTCTTGTATGAAAAGACAATAAGAAATTATTATACCGATCTTTTTTGAAATTTAGACAGATTACATAATGAGGATGCCGAAGATAAAGTGGGCCGGATTTGACCTACGAAGGAAGCATCGGATCGAACAATTGGACTCAGCCTATACTGTAACATTGTAAACTGGGCCTAACATCCGAGATCCACCGAACAAAGTCAGGCCCAAAAGGAAGGAGACCCGAAGCTAAGACCCCTACATAAGAAGTTAGTTACAACACTCTAACAGCACTTGTAATTACATATAAATAGACCATTGCGAGAGGAAAAGGGAGAGTTTTTTCTTTTGAAGTGTAAGATTCTAGAGAGAGAAAGAAGAAGTTTCTTGCATCTTCAATTGGCGTCGTCTGTGGGAAGGGAGAAGATTGATTTTTGATTGATTAAAAGTAATTTGATCGGGAATGATTTGTGGAGAAGAATCTTGATCTCTGAGAACTAGATCAAGATCGGCGACATCGTTGTTTGTTTAGCCGAATTCTGATTCCTCTTGATTTTGCAGAGATTTGCGTTCGATCTACACAGCTTTGATTTGTGCCTGTTCAATCGATCAATGCAGCGTTGATTTGATTGTGATTGCAATTGATCTGTCAGAGCTTAACTTGACCGGTTCACGGTGGATGAGATAGGGATTAGATCAAGAGAGGTCATAACTCAGCTGATTTGAATCTAGATCTGGTGTGAACGTATTAGCGAAACTCAGATCTGATCAAAGTGTTGCAGTTGATGACTTTGCTTCGATCCGGAATGATGATCGGAGGCGAGAGTTCAAATCCAGTGGAGAATGGTCAGCAGATGAAGCTCGATGAATTGATGAGCATGATCGAGGCTCTGAGAAAGGAAAACGCAGAGTTGAGAACTGAAAGGCAGCATCGAGAAGGTCCAGGTGTACCACGACCGCCTCTAGTGAGAGAAAGAGGTGCACAACTTGATGAAGCATATCGCAACGAGCGAGAAGGAGATAACCACGAGGATTTTCACAGCGAGGAGGTCAGGTTGGAGGATCTACCGCCAAATCCTCGTCGAGCCGAAGATCGGGAAGGATCTATACACCTAGGTCTGTATTGTGAGCAGACTAAGCGAGAAGAAGCTATGGCTTTCAATCGAAATCAGGAAAGGCACAATCGAGGATAGGCTACGGAGTTTGATCACCACAAGCCTGTCTCATCGTGGCAGAAGGGCTTCACTGACGAAAGGTCGTTGGATCCACCTTATCAGCCTTCGATGGCCACATACTATTATAGGAGTTCGGAAAGCAGACCTGCAGACCAAAGAATCGTTGCAAGGTTCCAAAGAGAGAATGAGGCCCTCAGTTCGGCAGCAAGGACGGTTGATTCACCGTTTACTGATGAGATCCTGAACGCCCTAAACCCGAGGAAGTTTTCCATGCCTGTTTTTATTTTATTTGATGGAACAACCGATCTGATTGATCATGTATATCATATCCAGTTGAAAATGGCCCTGAATACCGAGAACGACTCATTAATGTGCAAGTGCTTTCCTACCAGTTTAGCTGGACCAGCGCTCAATTGGTTTAAGAACCTGCCGAGGGGCTCAGTGGATAGTTTATGAAGTTTATGCGATCGGTTCATAAGCCAGTATTATGGGAATAAGCGTCCGGCGAAGGACATTTCGAGCCTGTTCACGATGGAGCAACATGAAGACGAGCGCCTCCAAGCTTTTCTTACCAGGTTTAACCTTACTAAGAGCATGGTGATTGAATGCCATCCTATAACGGCGGTTCAAGCGTTCAAGTTGGCCATGACTCGTGGCACTCCGTTCCACACAAGCTTGGTAGTGAATACGCCGAAGACCATAGATGAACTCAATGAAAGAGCTGATGGTTTTGTGCGTCTAGAAGAGGAGGAAGCAGCCAACGCTCGGAAAACATCCATTATATCAACAGAAGAGAAAACCAAAGCAAAGATCAAGCAAAAGCAGGCTCAGCCACAGCGTTAAACCCCCTGGAAGGCAGAGAAGAGGCCTAAAGAGGAAGAGTTGGTCACTCAGCTGAAAGTCACTCTGGTAAGGTTATACCAGGAAAACAAAGATAAGTTCTGTCCATCTTTGCCAATTCGGCAACCTCTCGAACAGAGGGATCAGACTAAGCATTGTGCTTTCCATAGCGATTTTGGTCACCAGACTAACGAATGTAGGAACCTAAAGAGGCAGGTGGAGATGCTGATCGCCAGAGGCAAATTTGTAAGTTATATTCAAGGGCCTGCAGCAGAACATAATTGACCGATGGAGTAAGTGAAAATGAATCAGAAACTGAGCTCCCATAACACACAACTAGTTCGGATAATAAATGTGATTCACGGTCGGCCTGAATCAAGTGAGGAGTCAGACAAATTACTCCGAACGCGTCTTCGCCAAGCGCAAATGAAAAGAAGGGTAGGTAGTGTGAAAGTTCTACACCAGCAGAGCACATCAACACAGATAAAGTTTGATAGGACAGACCTGTTACGTGTTCAAATTCCTCATGAGGATCCATTAGTCGTCAGCCTGACAGTGGCGAAATACCTGGTACGAAGAATTCTGATTGATCCTGGAAGCAGCGCAAATGTTATGCTGAGGGACACGTTCAATCGGCTCGAGATCAAGCTAGAGAAGCTCAAACCCACTGGAAATCCCTTGCTAGGGTTCGATGGAAACCAGGTAGAACCCATCGGAATGGTAGAAGTAACTGTACAAGCCGCGGAGAGAGTCTTGACAGAAAGCTTGTTGTTGTTGAAATCCATCCATCTTACAACCTTCTGATGGGCAGAGGGTGGATTCACAGAGTCCAAGGTGTTCCCTCAACTTTGCATCAAGTAATGAGATGCCTGGGACCAGACGGCACCAAGGCAATACATTCATGGCAACCAAGTAGCAGCCAATGAATACTATTCCGTGAAGCTGAAATCCGCTAAAAAGGGCAAAACTCCCATCCGTTCTGCGAGCCCGAAATAGCAATTACAGGAACCTCCACCCACCAAGAGTGGGGAGGAGAAGCCTTTGAGCTTAACCGAAGAACCTCTTGTGGGTGTGCAGATCGACCATTATAAACCAGAACGAACGATAAAAGTGGGAATGAAACTCACCGCGGGGGAAAAACAGGGGTTAATTGATTTCTTGTCCCAGAACTCAGATGTGTTCGCATAGAGTCACTCAGACATGCCCGGAATCAGTCATACAGTTTCCTGCCATTCTCTCAACGTTAATCTGAACGTAAAACCTGTAAGGCAGAAGTAGATAAGGTTTACTCCAGAACGCAATCAGATCATAGTTGAGGAGGTTGATAGGTTGCTTGATGCAGGGTTCATTAGAGAGGTGCAGTACCCAGATTGGCTTTCAAATGTTGTTGTTGTGCAGAAGAAGAATGGGAAATGGCGAGTATGCATTGATTTTACCAATCTAAACAAAGCCCGTCCGAAGGATAGCTTCTCGTTGCCCAAGATTGATCAAATGGTATATACTACTACTGGGTACGAACGTTTAACTTTCCTGGATGCTTATTCAAGTTATAATCAAATCCCCATGGACCCGGCTGATGAGGAGAAAACTTCTTTCGTTACCGAGCGAGGGACTTACTGTTACAAAGTTATGCTATTCGGATTGAAGAATGCTGGGGCAACTTATCAGAAATTGATCAGCAAGATTTTCAAGGCTCAAATGGGAAAAACTGTAGAGGCTTACATTGACGATATGGTGGTGAAAAGTAAGAGGAAAGTTGACCATCTGAAACATCTGCAGGACGTGTTCAATGTGTTAAGAAGATATGGAATGAGGCTTAATCCGACCAAATGCTCATTCGGCGTGAGTTCTGGTCAATTCCTGGGACATGTGGTTAATCATAGGGGAATAGAGGCTAGCCCAACTCAAGCAGAAGCTCTGACCAAGAATGCCAAACCAAAGACAGTCAAAGAAGTACAAGCTCTGACAGGACGGATAGCTGTATTGAGCCGGTTCATTTCTAAGTTGTCAAATCGCTGCAAGCCATTCTTTGACACAATACGAAGCCATGGGAGACAGGCCTGGGGGGATGAACAGCGATAAGCACTAACTGGTTTGAAAAAATATATGCAGAACCTCCGGCCCTGTCTGGCCCCGAACTAGGAAAAAAGTTATTTTTGTACCTCGGAGTATCCAGTATTACGACGAGTGCCATTTTGATCCGTTGCAAGGAAGGATCACAGTACCCAGTGTTCTATGTTAGTAAATAATGACCGAGACC